AAGAACCTCTCCATCTTCCCACACTTCCGTCTGAGATGTACTTCAAAGCCACAGCTGCGTCCATTTCAACCTGAAAATTGGAGTAGCCAACATCGAGCGCCCATTCTGTAGCGTAGAGAACTGAGCCGAGCTCAGCTTCCAACGACGAGGAAGCTTTGAGAGGGAAGGATAACGCGAAGATCAGCTCTCCTTCCTTGTTCCTCATAATAGCTCCACCCGCAGCACAGTTAGGTAAGAATTTTGCATCTGAGTTAAGCTTTAGCTGTTGTTGAGGCTGTTTCCATCTAACTGCCTTGAAGTATAATCCTTGTAGCTTAAAGTTAGGAGGAATCATCTTCTCTTCAAATAACACACTGCCAGTTGAATTAAATCTCAAACCAGATAAACTAATTACCCAATTTTGGGTAAATAGTTTGATTTGAAAAATTAATTGATCCGCAGAAGGTTTTTTATCATCATAGCCCCAAATGATTTTTGAATATTCTCTCCACAGATGCCAACAAATAATACCAGGAAGGTTATGTTTGAACAGATCTGTGAGTTTTTTACTCCCTGCCTTAAACCACCAGGTCATGAGAACTTGTCTAATAGACTGAATATGATTGTTGAGAGGAATCTCAAAAATACCCATGAAATAACTCCATATTTGTTTAGCCACTTTACAATCAAAAAATAAATGATTGACAGAGTCTGCATCTTGCCTACACATAGGGCAAATAGAAGGATAGATGACAGAATTAAATATGCTCAAATTATCTGTAATAGGCAAAATCCCTTTTAAAATTTTCCATTGAAGTAATTTGATATGTAAGGGCTGTTTAGGATGCCAAGCATGCTTGAAGGAGAAGGTGGGATAAATTGTTGGGTTTGTTTCGGAAAATAAAGAAAATTAATTAAAATAAATTAATTAAGTAAAATGACTAGAGAAAAACAAGAAAGGAGATGAAGCAGAATTAGCCAAAGCTCGTGCTACGCACGATTTCCTTAAAACGTATTTGTTGCCTCCCACGGTGCTAGGAGCGTTGCAACAATCGTTTCCCAGGATACGATGACTACGAACTAATGTTTGAGCACACAAACAAGAGTTCCAGCGAACGAGAACCAAGTATGAACACAGAAGGATTTTGGGAGTAGCTGGAAGAGTTTTTAGCTCAAGAAAACGTGAGGAAAGTGATGTGCGTTGTCAAACCGTGTGTTTGTTGCAAAGCACCTGCCAGCTATTTATAGGAGGATTTGTTGTGTGTTAAATGGGGTGTTAATGGACCTGAACGTTGGACATCAATGAGCAGTCCGTTGGGCATTGAATCGTCCATAAACTGTCCATTTAACGCAGCATTAAAAGATAAGAACGTTGGGCATTAATTGTTGTAACGGAAGAAGTGCGCGGCAGAGGACCCCAACAGAACTCCCCTTGGAGGGGTTCTGTCCGAAGCCAACAGAACTCCCCTCGGAGGGTTTCTGTTCGAGGCCTTTCCCTTTAGGAATCTTAACTCCTTAAAAGAGGCTTCCCTTTAAAAGGGGGTGAAAATCCCTTGAGTTTTTCGGTGTGGGATAAAACACACTAGAAACTCATCATTTTCCCAGTTTTTCCATTACAACGAGCGAACTTCGAGAATCAATTTCTCATTCACCCGTTATCCGTTTTGAGCGTACCATATATCGAATTGTAGCCCTTAACAAGGACAATCCGAAACCACTTTGACCCGACCCAAATCGGAAGTGGACCCCACTCAAATAATTGCCCCAAAATGACCATTTAATGCAATTTTTAACACATTTTTCCAACAATCCCCCACATGAATGAAAATTGATTTTCGAGACTTAAAAAGACACGAAGATAGGAGGACACGTTGTGTTCACCGGATGATCCTTGCATACGGAGAGGTAGGTTTTATCCTTTGAACCTTCCGTTGTAAAGACACGTTTATTTACTGGCTGTCTAGTAGACTCGATGTCCTTGAACTATACTGCCGTCGTGTAAACATTGACTTATCTTTACACAAGAACCTTCCAACTTTGTTCCGTTCTCATGGGTGTGCCCGTTTTGGCCATGGGTCACCGTCCTGGTTCTGCAAGAGTTTCTAAAGAACTGAGCCTTCACAGTTCTCCTTCGAAGCGGCCCTCTTCTCTCTCACATAGGTGATTCTTTCACGAGTATCCCGCATACTCTTCCAATGTTATCGAGTAGATCAACATTTTAGAATCATTAAAGCAAACGTTTTTGCTAACCTCGTGCGGGAGTCACTGTTTTAACGAGGAGTGGGTAGGAGTCTGGGACCCCCACAGTGACCATCCTTCGCTCTATAATTTAGTTGTCCCTTTTGAACCTAGGACCAACTAGGTTGGGTATCCACTATAGAACTTTTCAATTCACGGGCTTTAGTCCCATTCCTCGTGACAACTTCTCCAACAATTCTCTATCCAATGCCTTGGTTAGCGGATCCGCTATGTTATCCTTTGACTTCACGTAGTCAACAGTGATAACACCCGTTGTGAGGAGTTGTTTAATGGTGTTATGTCTACGATGAACGTGTCTAGACTTACCATTGTAGAGATTGCTCTGTGCCCTTCCAATTGCCGCTTGACAATCGCAATGTATGCATATTGGAGGGACAAGCTTCTCCCAACTTGGAATGTCCTCGAGAAAATGGCGTAGCCATTCAGCCTCTTCAGTGCACTTATCCAAGGCTATTAGCTCAGATTCCATCGTGGATCTAGCTATTAACGTTTGTTTCGAGGATTTCCATGACACGGCTGCACCTCCCAAAGTGAAAACATATCCACTTGTGGACTTAGAGTCCTTTATGTCGGATATCCAACTAGCGTCGCTATACCCTTCAAGTACAGCTGGATATCTTCCATAGTGCAGTCCAAGGTTTTGGGTTTTACGTAAATACCTCAAAACCCGTATTATTGCCTTCCAGTGTTCATCACCGGGGTTGCTAGTATATCTACTCAGCTTACTAACCACAAAGGCAATATCAGGCCTGGTACAACTCATTAGATACATCAAACTTCCAATAATCCTAGCGTATTCTACTTGAGAAATACACTCTCCACGATTTTTGGTAAGATGAGTGTTTTTATCTAATGGCGTCCTTGCCTCTTGATAATCATCCTTATTAAATTTAGTAAGGATTTTATCAACGTAATGGGATTGGCTTAGCGTTAGACCGTCAGGTCCTCTAATTATTTTAATCCCAAGGATTAAATCGGCCAGCCCCATATCCTTCATGTCAAATTTAGAATTTAACATGCTTTTGGTAGAGTTAATCATTAGATTATTGCTACCCACGATGAGTATATCATCCACGTATAAACATAAAATGACATAGCCGTCTACCGTGCTTTTCACATAGACGCATTTGTCACTTTCGTTTATCTTAAACCCATTAATTAACATTGCATGATCGAACTTTTCGTGCCACTGTTTAGGGGCTTGTTTCAATCCATACAATGATTTAATTAATTTACAAACCTTCTTTTCTTGGCTTGGAACACGAAAACCCTCGGGTTGTTCCATATAGATTTCTTCGTCTATATCGCCATTTAGAAAAGCGGTTTTTACGTCCATTTGATGAACTTCCAAATTCCGCAAAGCGGCAATCGCTAGTATCATCCTAATGGAATTTATTCTCGTCACGGGAGAATACGTGTCAAAGTAATCATGGCCCTCGCGTTGCTTGTATCCCTTGATTACAAGTCTGGCCTTATACTTATCAATGGAACCGTCTGGTTTCATTTTACGTTTAAAAATCCACTTGGATCCCAAAGGTTTACATCCCGGAGGGAGATCAACCAATTCCCACGTGTGATTTTTTAGGATAGAGTCCACCTCACTTTTGATGGCTTCTTTCCACATAGGACCTTCAGTAGACGTCACGGCTTCCGTATAAGTCCGTGGCTCATTTTCTACCAAACATGTTAGAAAATCCAGTTCATTTTCTACCATACATGTTAGAACATTCGGTTCAACTTCTATCAGGTAGGTGAGAAAATCCGGTCCGAAGGATTTTTCAATTCTAGCACGTTTGCTACGTCTGGGTTCGGGTTCTTCTCCGGATCCCTCGCTAGTATTTTCCATAGCTACGTCAAATGTTCGTTTTGACGTGCTAGGCCCTTCGTTGGACTTGCATGGAAATACATCTTCAAAGAATGAAGCATTCCTTGATTCAATTATTGTGTTTTTATGTACATCCGGATTATTCGAATCGTACACTAAAAACCGATAAGCACTACTATTTTGTGCATACCCAATAAAAATACAATCCACCGTTTTTGGACCTATTTTTATTTTCTTAGGTGTTGGTACAAGCACCTTAGCAAGACACCCCCACACTTTTAAATATTGATAGGAAGGCCGTCTGCCTTTCCACAACTCGTACGGAGTTTTATCATATTTTTTCCGGGGAACCTTATTTAAAAGGTAATTGCTTGTCAAGATTGCTTCGCCCCACATATTTTGTGGCAAGCCCGAACTTACTAGCATCGCGTTCATCATATCTTTCAATGTGCGATTCTTTCGTTCGGCAACACCGTTTGATTGAGGTGAATAGGGTGCGGTACGTTCGTGTACTATACCCACACTAGCGCAAAAGTCACCAATTGGTGCTTCATACTCACCACCTCGATCACTCCTAACCGTCTTAATCCGTCGATTAAGTTGGTTTTCCACTTCATTCTTATAAAGAATGAATTTATCGATTGCTTCGTGTTTATTTTTTAATAAATAAACGTAGCTATAGCGAGTGCTATCATCGATAAAGGTAATAAAATATTTATTACCGCCACGTGTTTGTATTGATTTAAAATCACAAACGTCACTATGAATTAATTCAAGTGGTTCCGTTTTTCTTTCAACTGATTTGAAAGACGTTTTCGCTAGTTTTGCCTCTACACAAACTCCACATTTGTGCTTCACATCAATTGTGAATTTAGGAATGTGCTCCATGTTAATTAATCTACGTATAGAATTATAATTAACATGTCCTAGTCTACCATGCCACACATTAGAAAACTCAAGCAAGTAAGCAGAAGGGATTTTATTATTATTATTAATAATAGTCATTACATTGAGCTTAAAAAGCCCATCACATGTATATCCCTTGCCCACATACATTCCCGATTTGGACAAAACCAGTTTGTCCGACTCAAAAACCATGCGGAAGCCATGCTTGTTCAACAACGAACCGGAAATCAGGTTTTTGCGTATTTCCGGAACAAACAGCACTTGGTTGAGAGTCAGCTCTTTGCCCGAAGTCATCTTCAGGACCACCTTGCCCACGCCTTCAACAGCGGAATGAGCCGAGTTACCCATCCACACTTTCTCACCATTTGATGGCTCAAAAGTTGTGAATAACTCCCGGTTCGAGCAAATGTGCCGGGTTGCACCGGTGTCCACAAACCACTCCTTGGAATTGGATCCAACGAGGTTGATTTCCGTAACCACAGCCGCTAGGATGATGTCTTCATCCTTTTGCCCACCTTGCACCAAATTGACTTGGGAGTCTTTCTTCTTCCGAGGTGCCTTGCAATCCGAGGACTTGTGTCCATTCTTGTTGCAGTTGAAGCATTTTCCATTGAACTTCGTCTTGGAAACGCCTCCCTTGGGACCGAGCTTGCTCTTCCCATTATTTTTATTTTTGGAGCCTTTAGCATGCTCCACCACGTTGGCCTTGGCGCCATGAACAATTGGGAGTTTCCCATCGTTCTTCCGGTTATCCTCTTCAATCCGCAGACGGAGGATCAATTGCTCCAAGTTCATTTCCTTTCGCTTATGCTTAAGGTAGTTCTTGAAATCCTTCCAAGACGGCGGCAATAAATGGATAATTGACGCCACTTGGAAAGATTCACTAACTGTCATTCCTTCATCTCGAATTTCGTTGAAGATCATTTGCATCTCCTCAACTTGACTCAAGACCGTCTTCGAATCCACCATTTTAAAGTCAAGGAATCGACCAACAACAAATTTCTTTGCGCCGGCATCCTCGCTTTTATATTTGTGGTCCAAAGCATTCCATAGCTCCTTAGCCGTAGCTAATTTGCTATACACGTCGTACAAAGCATCATGCAGCCCGTTCAACACGTAGTTTCGGCAAAGGAAGTCAGAATGCTTCCAAGCTTCAACCGCGTTGAAAGATTGCGCATCCACCTCACCCCCGGTTGCTACCGGCGCATCTTCGGTCAAGAATCTAGCAAGACCGAGAGTAGTGAGGTAAAATAGCATCTTTTGCTGCCACCTCTTGAAGTTTAACCCGTTGAATTTCTCGGGTTTCTCCACAGAGTTGCTTGGCACGGTCACCATAGGGATAGCCCTTTGGTTGGCCAAAGCAGATGCACCGCGTTGTGAACTATTGTTCACCGGTGCTCCGCTTTCAGAGTGATTGTCGTTCAGAACATTCTGCCCAACACCAATCTCGTTTTCTTGAGAAGTCATTTTCGTTCTTTAACGTTTTTCCGAAAACACAAAAATTAAGTTCGTTCACCAAAGTGACAAACTACGTTTTTAGATTGTTTACCGCAGTACAACAACCAAGGCAAAATACGTTTTAAGATTGTATCCGTATGATACAAACTCAACAAATACGTTTTAAGATTGTTGGGTTTGTTTCGGAAAATAAAGAAAATTAATTAAAATAAATTAATTAAGTAAAATGACTAGAGAAAAACAAGAAAGGAGATGAAGCGGAATTAGCCAAAGCTCGTGCTACGCACGATTTCCTTAAAACGTATTTGTTGCCTCCCACGGTGCTAGGAGCGTTGCAACAATCGTTTCCCAGGATACGATGACTACGAACTAATGTTTGAGCACACAAACAAGAGTTCCAGCGAACGAGAACCAAGTATGAACACAGAAGGATTTTGGGAGTAGCTGGAAGAGTTTTTAGCTCAAGAAAACGTGAGGAAAGTGATGTGCGTTGTCAAACCGTGTGTTTGTTGCAAAGCACCTGCCAGCTATTTATAGGAGGATTTGTTGTGTGTTAAATGGGGTGTTAATGGACCTGAACGTTGGACATCAATGACCAGTCCGTTGGGCATTGAATCGTCCATAAACTGTCCATTTAACGCAGCATTAAAAGATAAGAACGTTGGGCATTAATTGTTGTAACGGAAGAAGTGCGCGGCAGAGGACCCCAACAGAACTCCCCTTGGAGGGGTTCTGTCCGAAGCCAACAGAACTCCCCTCGGAGGGTTTCTGTTCGAGGCCTTCTGTCCGGAGCCAACAGAAATAGATTTTTGGACGGCATTCGTGTCCGCAGGTCGCCCGCACACACGAGTCGCGGATTTTCTTCTCCGTTTCGGGATTTGATCGGCACCCCCCCCCCCTGCGCGTAAGAGAGAGCCTTTCCCTTTAGGAATCTTAACTCCTTAAAAGAGGCTTCCCTTTAAAAGGGGGTGAAAATCCCTTGAGTTTTTCGGTGTGGGATAAAACACACTAGAAACTCATCATTTTCCCAGTTTTTCCATTACAACGAGCGAACTTCGAGAATCAATTTCTCATTCACCCGTTATCCGTTTTGAGCGTACCATATATCGAATTGTAGCCCTTAACAAGGACAATCCGAAACCACTTTGACCCGACCCAAATCGGAAGTGGACCCCACTCAAATAATTGCCCCAAAATGACCATTTAATGCAATTTTTAACACATTTTTCCAACATAAAGTTCAGCTCTAACCATGTTGTATGCAGATTTCAAGGTAAATATTCCATCCTCCTCAGGTAGCCACTTCACACTGCCATCAACATTCTCTTGACACATCTCAGAAGCAATGGTATTAATATCACAAATCCTTCTCCAAATAGGAGAATCAGTTATCTTAACATTCATATTTGGATTTCTAGGATATCTGGCCTTAAGAAAATCAGACCATAAAGATTTATCAGATCTCCACTTCCACCAAAGCTTAATAGAATAGGCCTGCTCCAGATCACTAAGAAATCTAATGCCTAAACCCCCTTCTTCTGTAGGCAAACAAAGATGCTTCCACCGAATCCAATGAAATTTAGGCTTATTATTAGAGGACCCCCAAAAGAAAGAGGCCATTTTTTTCTCTAAAGTATTGATAACTTTTCTAGGCAGCTTATCAGTTGCCAAAATATGAAGAGGAAGTGCATTCAGGACATGTTTGATCAACACTAATCTGCCTCCCTGGGATAAGTTTCTCTGCTTCCAAGAACTTAATCTCTTTTCAAACTGATTGATAAGATGAGCGCAATAATCAAACCTATTTATGCCCTTATGCAGGTTCACTCCAAGGTATTTGATAGGCAAGGAAGCTTTTTGCATACCCAAAATCCTGTGAATGATTCTGGTTCTAGCTCTAGCATATTTGCCACATATATAAGAGCTCTTATCAAGATTGACAGATTGCCCAGAAGCTGCCTGGTAAGCATTGAGAAAATTTTTAAAATTTTGTAATGATTTAGCTTCTCCATTAAGGAAAACTAGAAGATCATCTGCAAAACCAAGATGAGAAATAGGATAGCCCACAGTACCCATCCAATAAGGTTTAATTAATCCAGCCTGCATATTCCACTTTAGCCCTCTAGAAAAGGCTTCAGAAGCAATAATAAAAAGAAATGGAGATAAAGGGTCACCCTGTTTGACTCCTCTTGTGGGCTGAAAGAAACCAAATGGAGCTCCATTGACAAGAATAGAAAGATAGGTTGCTTTGAGATTGTTGGTAATGACCTGAATAAAATTCTGAGAAAAGCCAAATCTGTCCAGAATCTGTGCAAGAAACTCCCATGAAAGCCTGTCAAACGCTTTAGCCATATCAAGTTTAACCATCACATTAGAACCCCTCATTTTCTTATCAATAGAATGAATCATTTCCTGAGCAATAAGTATTTGATCTGAAATATCCCTGTTTTGCATAAAACCAGCTTGCTCAATGGAGATGATATTAGGCAAAATTCTGATCAGCCTAGTAGCTAAGACCTTGGTACAAACTTTATTTACAAAGTTAGATAGGCAAATAGGCCTAAAATCTGCAAATGTATTAGGATTGTCCTTCTTAGGAATCAAAACAACCAAGCTACTGGATATACCCTTTGGTATATGAATACCCATAAAGAATTCCTGTACAGCCCTTACCACATCAATTCCAACAATATCCCAGCACTTTTTAAAAAATTTACCATTAAAGCCATCAGGACCAGGAGCTCCATTTTGATTTAGATCCCAGACTGCCCCTTTAACTTCCTCTTCAGTAGGTAAATGCATGAGCATATTATTGTCATCATCACTGACCAAGGATGGTATGTGCTGCAGGATACTATCATCTTCCATATGGCTCTCTACTGAATAAAGTTTGGTGAAAAAAGAGACAGTTGCATCACCAATGTCAGGCAAGGTGGTAAGCAGATTACCTTCCTCATTCAAAATTGATGTTATTTGTTGTTTTTTCTGTCTCACTTTTACATAAGAATGATAGAAGTGAGAGTTACAATCTCCTTCTTTTAACCAGTGTATGTGAGCTTTTTGCTTCCAATATTTTCTCTCCAACTTGTACTTTTTCATAAGCAAAGCTTTCAAGTGTGACCAATTCTCTCTATTGCTAGCACTGGGATCATTATCATATTCCTGCTCAGCTTGTTGAACCAAATTTTCACAATATTTGATGTCATCAAAGAGATTGCCAAAAACTTCTCTATTCCAAGTCTTTAAATCATTTTTAAGGCATTTCAATTTAGACACTAAACCTTTCATTCCTCCTCCAAAAGAATTTGAGAGCCAGCTTTTTTTAACAGTGTCTAAAAAACTAGGATGAGTCAGCCATATGTTTTGAAATTTGAAAGACTTTGGACCATTAGAGGAATTCTGATGACACTGTAGGAGTATAGGATTATGATTTGAAGGGGTTTTCTCAAGAATAGAAATTTGAATCTGACTAAAGAAGTGAAGCATTTGATTATTGATCAAACACCTATCCAGTCTCCTGTAGACTCTCCCATTGGATCTGTTACCTGACCAGGTGAAATAAGGACCCACATGAGGCAGGTCAATCAAGTCACATGCACTAATACAATCTGAAAACTCTATCATGCTGGTAAAATTAGGGACAAAATTTCCTTTATGTTCATAGTGAGAAGCTATTGCATTGAAATCTCCCCCTACAATCCAAGGATCATCCATACTAGTAGCTATATGAGAAAGAGCACTCCAAAGAGACCTTCTAGTAATGTAGTTATGACCCCCATAAATGGCAGAAAACCAACCAGAAAAATTACCTTGTTTAATTTTCATGTGTACAAACTGAGGATGCCAGGTAATATCTGAGATTGACATTTCATAAGGATTCCAAAAAATCCAAATTTTGTTAATGTCTGAATAAAGAACCTTCTGAAAACCCAACTCATACATAAACTGACTTGCTCGATTGCTATTAACAATAGGTTCAATGATAAAAAGAGCTTGAATCTTCCAATATTTCACTAAGGAGCAAAGCCTGGAACAAGAAGAGTCCAGACCTCTAGTATTCCATAGTAAAATATTCATTAATCAAAATGATTAAGAGCATTAGACACAGAACCCATTGATTCTGTATGATCCTTCTTTCTTGCAGTATTTCTTGTAATTCTGGGCGGTATCTCTGATTCATCTTTCTTCCTGTGTTTTTTGTGATTGACTTTGATGAAGTCATCATCAGGCATATTAGGAATCATATCATCTTTTGGTATGTCAGAAATCTGAGTTGGCTCTGTTCCATTCCCTGGTAGTTCCTGAATGTTAGCATCCCCCAATTCTGGAGAAAAAGTAGGTGATTTGGTAGCCTCCTTTGAAGCATCTTTTAATGCCATATCTTTAACAATGATGTCAACTTTAACTGCAATGTCTGGGCAGATCTCTTTCCAATTTTGTAATGGTTCCCTAATCTTTGTTTTTTCTCCATCAGAGTCATATTCCTTGGAAGAGAGTTCTGGATCAAACTCAAATTGCTCCATAAGAGGTTTGAGATCAAAATCATCTTTGCAGGTAGAAATGTCCTTGCTGTGTTGAATACCTGGAATCTCAGTTTGGAGAAGTATTTTCATCTCCTCATGGGAAAACTTTTTTGTTGCAGGAACAGGATGCTGCAAATCTTCAAAGGGAGTAACTTGCTTTCCTGGAGGATCCTCCATGATAATTTCTTCTATTCCAGCATCATTAGAAGTAGAAGGATCTAT